GCTCAATAAAATGTTTGACTGGCATGTGCTTGATTATTTTTTAGAACACAACTCAACCTAAAAAATGAAAACACCATGAAAAAGTTTACAGAAATATTTACATGTTGGAGTTTTTTGCTCTTGGTTTATAAAATTCACCACAATTCCTGTAGTTCATAACTCAGCTAATATATTGCAAAGAACGTTTTGTGTGAAGTAGATTGTTTTGTGCATGAGGTTTGATAAATGCCTGTTGAGATGCTACATGAAGTAAACACTTCTGCTCTGTTCCGTGTTCTGCCAGCCTGACTGATTGGCGTGCACTTCATTCCACTCAGGTTCTGGTGTCTTATGACATTTTTCTTATCCCAGTGTTCTTCTTGTTCTCAGCCATAGGATAATCTACTGCTGTATCCACCCACACCATGTTCTGAAATTGTTATTCTCAAGCCATCTCTCCTTCTCTCAAGTAGTTGATGCAAGAAAGGTCTGCTTTATTTAAGGCTTATTCAAATGACCCATAGGTGGAACTTCAAACCCTGTGTGTCCACAATATGTACGGTTTTTACACCACCACAAATATCTGACTCATTTGTGAATGAGCTACAGCAGACAGAGCTAATATCACTGTTTTTGTTTAGCATTTCCATTTTGCACCCTAGGGTGTTTTGCTTCTTTCTGCTGCCAGCTATCGTGCCTTGAGTGTTAAATGTTGTATTGTCACTCTATCACTATGCCAAAGTCACATCAGGTGTAAACCAGTATCTACCACCTACCTGGCCATTTTGTCTGGGGAGAAAAGCAGCTGCTCCCCTGAGAGGTAGAACATGTAGAACCCACGAAACTGCCAATATCGAGCAGAGGAAACACTCTTTTAAAAATTGCTTTGTGCATAATGAAAAACATTCACTACTGTTTAATATTCATAACATGATTTCAGTTCTTCCCTGGAAATGATGCAAAGTCTTTTAAACCTGACTTGAAATTCATTACGTTTGCTTACTTGCAATTTAAATGATGAATTTCCGAACTCAGAGCAAACCTCTGCATTTGCAGGAGTGATTTATAGTGTGATAAATATATGATTTCAAAAAGTGCCTGAAAGTGTTCAAATGTTTTTCAAGTCTACCTAAAGCAACAATATGTAACTTTTTACATTAAAGTGACAGCTTCAAAATCATTTTGACGGTACACTGACTTCTAATATGGTGAATGGCATCTCTGCTATTGCCACTGCATGTCTGGATCGTCTGTTCCTGCACTATGTAACTCTGGATCACCATTCCGGTGACCTCATGTGATAGCTGCGGTTTGGTTTATGGCACCAGATGCTTCCAATAACTCTGTGAACAAGCACATGGTTTAAAGCACACACGTAGCAGTATGTAGTATGGCTTATAGTCAGAAGATATCTGTCACACAGGCCTATGTTTATATGGCTACGATCTGTCCAGGCAAAGCATGTTAAAAAAAAACATGCTCAGCCAACACAAAGCATTGCCAGAGTCCAGCAACAGCCAAGAATATGAGAGAGGAACAAACCAGACAAGAGTGAATGTTGGACTGGCTTTTACTCATCGATGAGAGCTAAAAATAACCCTGTCAGAGTTAGTAAATGTTAATAGCTACTGTCCTGATGTTAGCTGTAGAGAGCTCCTAACACGAAAACAGCAACCACAGCAGAGTGTACATCTCTGCTAATGTGTAAAAAGTCATCTACCTCAGTCCCCCAGATAAATAAATTCATCTCAGGCCAGACAGTTTGGTCAGTCTTTGTCACTGTCATGCCAAATAAGGCTTTGAGGTTTGCAACCTAAAAAAACCATCTCAGCTAGCTTGTAATAAATTACATTGCCCAATGTATATTATGTGTAATATGAGCCTATATCGAGTCTTCGACAACACTTCATTCCATTACACATATCCACATTCAAACTATCTGAAAATACAAGCAGTATTTCAGTAAAATGTAAAAAAACCCCTGTCATTATTTATTACTCTTTTTTTTATGACTGTTCATCCTCAATGTCACAATAAATCCTATAATATCACTTTACTGTTCTTTCGCTGTGTTTCACAGTTCAGTAACATTTTCGTGTTGTAAACAAATGCACACGCACCACTGTTCACGAAGAGAGGTGAAAACGCAACTAATATCTACTATAATGAAAATTGGGTAAAACTCAAATACACTCTGCAACCGCAGGGGGAGACAAACTGCCAAGTTACATATTACTGGTTTAAATCAATACTCACATGCCCATATGTTCACTGAAATGGTATTTGGTTGCTGCAACTGTTCCTCCTGTTCATATGCAAATGATTCCAAATGTGATTCTACTGTAAGAAACAAAATTTACAGTCCACATGTGCTGTAAAATTGCATTCTGAAAGATCAGCCAAAGGTCATACAAGGCTTCAGCAGTCTTGAGTTACACACATCAAGTAGAAATATATCAGAATAACGGTCCTCCCTCCACCTCCCACAGTGCAGCTCAATGTGGATATGCATCCAAGCTTTGTTTTTTTTAATTTTTTTACTAAAACCATTGCAACTTTAGATGAATTCACATTTAATCAGTCAATCTCCGACTGCTGATCCCTCACATAAAAATAAGCTGAACTTTAGATTCCATGTTTATACTCAGCAGATCATGTAGATTTAGTCCCCCATCACTTACAATAGAATTTCATCTTTTTGTAGCCATTATGGACAGAAGGAACAATTACATCAACCAAGAACTGTTTCAATGTATTATATCAGCATATTGTTTCAGGCCAGGCTTGGGAATATATAAACCTGTTCTTTAAGGACATCTTCTTAATAGACAACAAGAAATAATGAGAGGGATTGCAAACCCACAATTTTGTCTTAATGCTCAGACACAGAGTAAAACAGGGGTCTCAAGAAACGTTCCACTACCAAATGTATGACAGCCTGTAGAGGGTCTAGTGACACTCACCATAAGCCGCCCCTAACTGCTCGATGCCCATCCCATCACATCCTGCTTCCTAGTGATGACGTAAACTACAGTACAGATGCCCGGCTGCAATAAATTGTACAAAATGCAGCCACCAGTCTAAAGCTAGCACTAAGCAACTAATGAGTATGGGTCGAACACTCTGGTTACTGCTAATGTGCCACAAAGTACTGACTTTACCCAACATTACTCTCATCTCAAAAAGCCAAACTGAAGTTAATGCTGGTTTCCACACTTACTTTGTCCCACTCTCTCTGTGTAAAAGAACAAGTCCTCTTTGGACCTTTAGTTACTAATAACTCCTCCATGGCTGACTGTTTGAAATAACAGCTCATGGTTAGAAAAACTTTCTTCTAGGAGAGGAGACAAGGATTTGTTAAAAAGAACATTTCACATTGTACTTTACTGTATATACTATTTATAGCAACGTCACCCAGGACAAACAAACTTTTCACTGTCATCGAAAAATGCACGTTCTCTGCCTTTGCCTTTGAGTGAAAACATCACTATGAAGTTACAGGAAGTGATACCTCAGTTGAGGTTTCCTAAGTGTTTCAAAGAGCACTAAGTGACATTACGTGACATATTTACAAGACGCACCACACGTAACAGTATACAAACACTAAAATCCTGTTTTAAAACACCTTGTTTACAGGTCCTAAATTACTGAATTGATTAGTCACTCTGATCTGGCCAACACACTATTAACTTCCTGACTTTTGTCCTAACAAAATTTAAATATTTATCCGCTGCAACTGTAAAGCTAAATGAAGACTTTTGAACTTGTGGTTATGGAACATTTTAAAACCTTCTTTCGTCTGAGTCATTTCAGGACCAGAGCGTTAAACCGAGTATTTGAAGTTATCTAAAAGGAAATATACATATATATATATATGTATATATTTAGTTAGTTATCTAAAAGGAAATATACATCGGTTTAACGCTCTGGTCCTGAAATGACTCAGACGAAAAAAGGTTTTAAAATGTTCCATAACCACAAGTTCAAAAGTGCATTCAGAAGATGTGTTGGGTGAGCTGACATGTTTTGACCTTTGTGAGCCAAGTGTGAAAAACAACATTAATAATGTATACATATCACTTCTCTTGTGGTCATTTGCGTCACTTCAAAGCTATATTTGCAAGTATACTACACATTTCTAGGAAAAGCATGCCATTGCTATCACCTTCTAAGGTATACACACTTCATCATTGTGACCTGTATGACCGTTTGACTCTTCGTTTATACGCAGCAAATTAAAAATTACATAAGAAATGGACTGTGAAAAAACCAGGAGTTAGAAAGAAACCACCCAACAGCATATAATACCAGTAAAATGACTATCAGTATGTAACAGATCTCTGAGTATTTATACTTTTGTATTTTAACTACATCTTGCTAATAACACATGTATACTCTTAAGTAGAATTTTAGTTGTATTTGTGTTAAAAGATGTGAACAGCTCTTCCACCATTTCTGTAATAATGGTAAAATAAATGTAATGGGGTTTAAGTAAATAGAAATATTGAAACTAAAATATTACAGTTGGGTACCTTCCAGCAGAACCTCTCAGAATGATGCAATCTGTGTCTATTTTTAGGCTGCCTTCACAATATTAAGTAAACAAATCAACAATTAAATGATTTATTTCTGCAAATTCTGCGAAATGAACACAGGACGAGATGTAACACATCCTTATGACTATACATAATAATATACAGTAGTATAGAAATTGTAACAATGACTAGAGCCAAATGAATAAATCAACTCCATCTTCACTGTTTTCCATCTAGCGTGTCATCAAATTTGCTCTATATTCCGATAGTCTTTACGTGCAAGATGACATCAAAGATAACAAGAGGATCTGCAGACAACTTATGAAGACTTCAGCGATAATAGATAGGCTGTAACCTCCTGCTCTGCTGCTGCATGAAGTGCTTGTAGCTCACTGGCTACTTGAACTGCAGAGGAGGAGCTGCCGTCAGTGGTCTGAGAAGAAACTCCCCTGTCAGTTAAGAGCGTGACAACAACGTGAGGCGCCTCGGAGCATCGCTTGCAAACCACCAGAGTAAACACTGTCCCCTGTGGATTCATCAAGGTTTTCGTGAAGAACTTAGCGGAAGAGTTTTGCTTCTGTGCGTAAAAGAAATATTCGGAGACGATGGATTTGGTTTTTATTGGAGAACCTGGGAAGTGCGCATTATTGGAAAGTGCGCATTACTGGAAAGTGCCACTACTTCGGAAGTGAGAGGGAACTCTGTGTATTGTAAAACTGTGAAAGAAGGCGCTGCAGGCATGAACAACACGGCAACGGGGAGATTTCAACCGCCCACCATCCCCGCGATTATGTTCATTTTCGGGGTGGTGGGCAATGTCATTGCTATAGTGGTTCTGCGAATATCACGCAAGGAACAAAAGGAGACGACTTTTTACACACTTGTGTGTGGCTTGGCAGTGACAGACCTCTTGGGCACTCTGCTGGCCAGCCCTGTCACCATCGCCACCTACGTCAAGGGCTCCTGGCCGGGAGGTGAGCCGCTGTGCCAGTACTCCGGCTTCATCCTGCTCTTCTTCTTCTTGGTCCAGCTTAGCATTGTGTTTGCAATGTCAGTGGAAAGATACTTGGCCATAAACCATGCCTATTTGTACAACGAGTATGTCAACCAAAAACTCGCTGCACTGACTTTTCTGGCTATTTACATTTCCAACCTCGCGTTCTGTGCGCTGCCCAGCCTGGGGCTTGGCCAGGTGAAGCTCCAGAACCCGGGGACCTGGTGTTTCATTGACTGGCATAACAACCACACAGCAGTCGCGACTTTTAATTTGATGTACGCAGGTGTGAATTCAGTTATGGTGTTGGCCACTGTCATATGCAATGTGATGGTGTGCGGGGCTCTCATCCTCATGCACAAGCGATTCATCCGCCGCACGTCTTTGGGCACAGACCAGCGGCGCATCGCGGAGTTCCGACGCAGACGGAGTTTCAGAAGATTAGCTGGAGCAGAGATCCAGATGGTGATCCTGCTGATTGCTACCTCTGCTGTGGTTCTCATCTGCTCCATACCTTTAGTTGTGAGTATTGGGAAAGTTGATCCAGCCACACGTTGTGCGCAGTGTGCACAACAGATTATTTGTAGCGATGGCAAACAAATATGCAGGGGAAATAAACTACATTAAAATACAACAAAATTAACCTAAAATAATGAGATTAGTCTAATTACATTTTAAATGATAGTGGGCCCTTAAAGTACAAACAAACAGGCAGGAGATGGTTAATAGGCTAAATAGAAACTACTTGAACATTGTGTTCGAGGTTTAAATCTTTGTGGCCAGATGACGCATTTCTCTGAGGCGCAAATGTGACCGTGCGCTGTCGCTATCGCTTTACCAAAAACTACTTTCTGTTTGCATGCAACGATAATATGCCGCCTACAACTGATCAGAGTCGGGACTCAGGTGTTATTTCCAAACACCGAGTTTGCTCATTTGAGCTGCCAACACAAGACTGGAGTGTTGAGCCGGAGCACAGCGCTCCTGGAGACTGTGAGGTCTCCTGATTTGAAATGGCAAGCAACAATTCCCATAGAATATCTGTGAAGATCAGTGATTGATGGGTTATCGATATGTTCACAGTATCTTAAAACGATAGTCGGATGTTTATTGTATTATTGTAACGGGAGTCTTCTTGCTTCTAACATCCCCACTGTTCATACTGATAATTAAAAGAAACGAGGGACAAAATTTATTTCGGAGTTCATGAAAAAAGAATAGGAGGCTTTGGCTGTCTGAGATAAACGAATCAAATGAGTTCCATAGTCGCTGTCTTTCTAGTAAACAAACAAACAACAACACAAACTCTTGCAGCATTACTATCTCTCTGCTGCAGTTCAGCACAGAAGCACCTGGAACAGAACCAGCACTACAACGATTCTCTTTTGGAGGCTCTGATCTGCCCAAACTGTACAAACCCTAGATTAACTTCAGGTAAATTATGGAATAGTCTTGCACAGAACAAGCACCGTGGATTTTGTTAGTATGACATTTCATCATCTCCAGTATGAACAGGGGAACAGACTAAAGCAAGAAACCTTAAGCAGACTTGAAAAAAGTATCCTGAAGTCAAATATCAAGGCCTTATCAAAGCTTTGTGAAAAAATGATTGTGAGTCTCACCCAATGGCCGATTGCTCTCTTATGGTGAATGACCGTGAGAAATAAAACTGCTTTTATTGGCCTGTTGCCTTCTGGTTGTACAGAAGTTCCATTCAGCCAAGGGTCGATTTAGCAATTCATTCCAACCACATAGAAATATGTAACATAACCAATTATTTTACTCTTGTAAATCAAGTGTAGACAAGTTTGGGTTTGTAAAAACACACATTGTTTCTGCATTTTACACATTTTACACAACCCAAAAATCTGTGGATGCTTGTCAAGTTCCTAACTTTATCTACTGCTGCTGTTTTCTCTCCTATGCCATCAGCTGAGGATCTTTGTGAACCAGCTGTACAAAAACCAGAACGAAGAACCTTTGGGGTTGAACAAAGACCTCCTGGCCATCCGCATGGCCTCCATCAACCCCATCTTGGACCCCTGGATCTACATCCTGCTCAGAAAGACAGTGGTCCTCAAGCTGATGGAGAAGATTAAGTGTCTGTTCTGCAAAATGGGTGGGCGGGGGCGAACGGGCGGAGGGCAGTTCCGCTGTGCTGACGGCCGCTTCTCCTCCTCCATCGTCTCTCAGGATTCCCCATCACTGATGTCATATGAGCTGCGGGAAATGGTGATCACATCACAGACCTTCCTGTACCCATCTGAGGGAAACCCCGAGAGGCTGGGGTCATTTCATGAAGTGTCACAGGGCGGCTCCAGTCCACCAGCTGTACAGATGTTACAGGGCCACCAGGAGGTCAAGGGGCCTCAGAGGGGGCTTTCATGGAGTGATTTAGAGGACACAGCACCAGGCAGGCCACTCAAAGAGCTTCCAGTGTGCCCCAAAGACCCGGCTCTACATGTGACCTTCACAGATGAGACTGCAAACATGCAGGAGAAATGCATATAACAGTGAGGATGATCTGAACATGCATTCACCACTGTAATCGGCCTGTCGCGAGACAGAAGACGTGAACAAATGTAAGCACTGCAAAGATGTGATAATAAAGGAAAAGCTTCAGAAGACTGAATAATCATCTATCAATGTGTAGATATGCTGGACTAATAAAATGATGTGTGACAACTATATTACTGAACTAAACATCCATTATCAATTCATTACTCCTCTGTCATAGCTTTAACCACAAACCACATGTCAATGCACTTCAAAAGAAGTACAACAACTGGTTTTGTTCTATCAACAAAACCAAAGAACAATGTGACAGTGTAGAGGAGCTCCTTTATTGCACTTTGTGAATTCTCAAACCACTGCTAGGCCGTTTGTTTTGTATCATTCTGACAACCTGCACAATGACTGTAAAGAATTCATGTTAAAATGTGAAGCGTTGCATGATTTTAATTTATTCAAAAGTATGAAACTGTATGTTACTGTCTTCTCTGTGAGAAGGTCCGCATAGTTAAATTTGTTTTGTGTTGCTTGTATGTAGAAACATTTGCAAACAATTTGGTCGACAGAGCAGCTCGGGCATCAAAGCTAAAACATACCATCCCCTGCATTTTGTTAAAAAGAAAAGGCAGCTTATACTGTGGCTTTCTCACAGTTCAGACACTGGAGGATGTTGGGAGGCCTCCTAAAGGTGTGGGGTGGGGTGAGGCCGGAGCTGATCCCGGATGACATGAGAGGTGGGGTACACCCTGGACAGGTTACCAGTCTATCACAGGGCTGACGACCATTCACACTCACATTCTGTGTTAGGATTCATCCAACTTCATCTTATGTGCAGTGCCTCTCCTCTAATCAGGCTTTCTAAAGGATTTAAGGACGACAGGGAAAGCTGAGGATGTTCGTTATTTTTCTGTCTGATAAGTTTGTGGGTTTTAATATAAATATCAAAACATGCTCATATGCCATTTTTTGTTTCCGCCAGTGTTAAATTTACCATAAAATGTCAACTCTGTTGTGAACAAACAAGCTGAAAATAAAAGTTGGTGAATATTGACATAAATTAAAAATGTCATGTGTTTGCAAACTGAAACTGTTAATAACAAGCCGCAGTATGTATTACAAACTATGTTTATATATGGTATTTTGCTCATGGTAAATAGTATAAGTATAGCATCAGGCAGGCATTTACATCCAAATTGATCAGTTGATTAATGTGCAACTACTCTGAGAACTAAGTAAAATCACATTTCAAGCAAAAATGCCCCAAACTCTGGGTCCAGCTTTTTAAATGTGAACATTTGTTGCATTTTATGGAATATCTTTTAAGTTTTGGTCTGTTGTTTGGACAAAGTAAGAAATTTGAAGATGATGGTGACATTTTTGCTATTTTCCAACATTTAATAGACAAAGCATTTAACTGATTAACCAAGAAATAATTAGTATATTCATTAACAATGAATGTGATCCTTAGTTGTAGCCCTACATGTCGCACATTTGTACTGAAACTACAGTCAATGAGTATTTAACAAGTGCTCTACTAATGAACAACTCACTGACTGCTGAACATCAAATATAGGTCATTCCTCAATAGTACATGGATATGGAAATACAATTCAATACCAGTCACTTCAGATTCATGCATGGCACTCCCACCAAATCCTGTTGGAGTGTTATGTGCAAAGAACTGCTGCAAAGCTGGTCAAGAAAATGCTAATGAATAGACTTTAACGTATATTCATTTACTGAGTATTTCATTTTTATGTAAAAATACATTCAGAAATTCAAACGTAGCTTGAAAATAAATGCTCTTTAATGTTTTCTTTTGCCAGCTGGTCAATGTCTGTGCTATTATCCTGCCAAGTCATCTTCGATCTCTTTCTCCAACAGTACTGATGAGTAAACCATATTTCTAACCATATCCAGTTCAGATGCTGTGGCAATGCTCACCTGCAAAGGGATGGCTTCTTCACCCCTAAACACTTCCTGGTCCTGTGTGGCCGCTGGCCATAGTCATCTGAGAGCAGTAAAACCTCTCAGAGAACAATACACCATTAATGAGAACGGTGACCTCAGTGGGAGAAATCTGTTAAAGCTCTCAAGTCTCCCAGGGGGCAGGAAACTGCGATTGACAAAACAGTTGTGACGGGGTGTTAACTGAGGACAAAAGAAAAAAATAAAGATTCTTCTTGGAAACTCCCTCTCCCCACCTTGTCACTGCACAGCAGTACATGTGACAGGCCGTTTTAGACATTTAAACTCCTGCCATGATGCATGTGCCTGTGAAAACAACTGGCTATTAGAAGATGCCACTCGAAATAGCTGATGTGGCTTTAAGTGTGGAAACTGAGTTAAAGAGAACCGGGGAAATGGGGATAGTTATAGTTACAGAAATGACAACAGTATATGTGCTACTGTACATCAGTCATGGTTAATTTTAGGGCTGAGGAAGATAAAGAGTTACAGTAAGCTGGGGGGCAGTGACCAGAAGATGCAGAAATGAGTCCAAATAGATGGAAATTTCCAGAACCACATAAATTTAATTCTGGTGGAAATTCCAGAGTTTTCTAAAGTAACAAACATGTCACACTGAACTTTGATGAAAACTTTATAAAATGACATTAGAATATTTCCATTTGACGGCGCACTGCAGCTACAAACAGGAGCCAAGGTGTTCTATGTGACAACTAGTCTATGGCAACGACAGTGTGGCGATCAGAACTTTGACCCCGGCTGCAGTGACCTTTGAGGACGCAGCCAATCACTGTTTACCACAAAAAAGTATTAGCCTACTTTTGTTTCTGAATTCCCTAACTGTACAATAATAATTTACAATCATATCAAGTCAAAAGAAAGATGGGAAGCCTAGTTGCTTAACAAAATATCAGCATGCAGATGCAGCTAGCAAGATATTTTTGTTGCAGAAATCTGCTCCAAAACTTGTCTTAATGTGGAGAGGTGCAGTTGAAGCCTCTTGTGACCTAGACTCATTGCAAACCAGCAGCAGTGCAGACATATTAGCTTCTAAGGTTTTGAGCATCTCATTTCTTGTAATTTCATAACGACAAACATCTGAAGAGCTGGGCAGAGCGTGGCGGAGCGTAGCAGATTGTAGTAAAGCATAGAGCAGGGAGAGGGAGAGCTGGGTGGAGCAGAGTGGATTGATTTGCCAGTGTGATCTTAAGTTTCATACTGTAGCTCTAAATAACTACTGAAGAGGTGGAACAAGCCAATACACAAAACCTGATATTGTTAGACAGTATGGAAAAAGGTGCTGTTAACAACTTTAAATCTGTAATAGATCTGTCTTCATAATGTGGCGTCAACCAAGAAAAATAGTATCAGCAGTTGGGTCATCCAGATACTTGTGTATTTAACCTATTATCACTTGGCACACCCTGATTGTGCACAGGTGACCTCCATTTATCCTATTATGCAACATCACCATGGCAATGACTTGGGTGTGATATAGACACGGGTGTGACAACTTGTTTAATTGTTGTTTGCAGTACATTTATATTTAACTTAGACCAATTTGTAAAGATTTATTTTTGTTTCTATCATACAGGCCAATTTAAGAAAATAAGGGTCTCTTTGTTCCATAATTATTTAGCAGAAACCTTGCCGGATGTTTATCTCTGTCAGCTACATCCTGGGTCTTGTTAGCTTTATCGCTTATGCCTTTTCAAAGTCACCTGCTCCTCTGAAAAGAATGTTCTGTTGTTCAGATCCAATTTTTAGAGCCCATCATACAGAACCTGTAGTGTCTAGAGACATACACTGGCCTTTTTATAGAAACTCTAATGGAAATTACTTCCATATTTACAGTATTGTTCAAAATAATAGCAGTACAATGTGACTAACCAGAATAATCCAGGTTTTTAGTATATTTTTTATTGCTACATGGCAAACAAGTTACCAGTAGGTGCAGTAGATTCTCAGAAAGCAAACAAGACCCAGCATTCATGATATGCGCGCTCTTAAGGCTGTGCAATTGGGCAATTAGTTGAAAGGGGTGTGTTCAAAAAAATAGCAGTGTCTGCCGTTGACTGTACAAACACAAAACTATGTTGTACAAACGTTTTTGTTTCTAGGATTTAGCAATCCTGTGAATCACTAAACTAATATTTAGTTGTATGACCACAGTTTGTTATAACTGCTTCACATCTGTGTGGCATGGAGTCAACCAACTTGTGGCACCTTTCAGCTGTTATTACACTCCATGATTCTTTAACAACATTCCACAATTCATTTACATTTCTTGGTTTTGCTCAATGCCTTAAAATGGAGAGCAAAACCAGAGAGACGTGGAAGAAAACGGAAGACAACCATCAAAATGGATCGAAGAATAACCAGAATGGCAAAGGCCCAGCCAATGATCAGCTCCAGGATGATCAAAGACAGTCTGGAGTTACCTGTAAGTACTGTGACAGTTAGAAGACGTCTGTGTGAAGCTAATCTATTTTCAAGAATCCCCCGCAAAGTCCCTCTGTTAAAAAAAAGGCACGTGCAGAAGAGGTTACAATTTGCCAAAGAACACATCAACTGGCCTAAAGAGAAATGGAGGAACATTTTGTGGACTGATGAGAGTAAAATTGTTCTTTTTGGGTCCAAGGGCCACAGACAGTTTGTGAGATGACCCCCAAACTCTGAATTCAAGCCACAGTACACAGTGAAGACAGTGAAGCATGGTGGTGCAAGCATCATGATATGGGCATGTTTCTCCTACTATGGTGTTGGGCCTATTTATCGCATACCAGGGATCATGGATCAGTTTGCATATGTCAAAATACTTGAAGAGGTCATGTTGCCTTATGCTGAAGAGGACATGCCCTTGAAATGGTTGTTTCAACAAGACAATGACCCCAAACACACTAGTAAACGAGCAAAGTCTTGGTTCCAAACCAACAAAATTAATGTTATGGAGTGGCCAGCCCAATCCCCGGACCTTAATCCAATCGAGAACTTGTGGGGTGATATCAAAAATGCTGTTTCTGAAGCAAAACCAAGAAATGTAAATGAATTGTGGAATGTTGTTAAAGAATCATGGAGTGGAATAACAGCTGAAAGGTGCCACAAGTTGGTTGACTCCATGCCACACAGATGTGAAGCAGTTATAACAAACTGTGGTCATACAACTAAATATTAGTTTAGTGATTCACAGGATTGCTAAATCCTAGAAACAAAAACGTTTGTACAACATAGTTTTGTGTTTGTACAGTCAACGGCAGACACTGCTATTTTTTTGAACACACCCCTTTCAACTAATTGCCCAATTTCACAGCCTTAAGAGCGTGCATATCATGAATGCTGGGTCTTGTTTGCTTTCTGAGAATCTACTGCACCTACTGGTAACTTGTTTGCCATGTAGCAATAAAAAATATACTAAAAACCTGGATTATTCTGGTTAGTCACATTGTACTGCTATTATTTTGAACAATACTGTACACTGACCTAGAAACCTGAGGAGCACTGACTGCTTTAGAGGTGGATCTGGAAATGACTTCACATTTTTAATCTTCTTTTTCATTGAAATGAATGTTACCCTTCACAGTACTTGGTTTTACGAGTGCACTGCCCTTCACATCAACAACAGGTCACACGGTGCTGAAAAACAGAAAAGGTTGCAACCACAGAGGAAAAGAAATACACTTACAGCATATCATCACTTTTGCTATAGGCAAATTTTGTCACGTTTGTTTAAAAACATGAGCGATTACATACTACATCACCAAATATGTGACGCATTACATCTTATCAGACAGGACAAAGTTTTATGTCCATTCATAATAACAATGGAGGAAGGTTTTCTTTTCCCAGGTTTACAACAAAAGCACTGACATGCTTGTATTTTGACTCGTACCTTTTCCACAATTACCCAAACACTTTTTCTCATAAGAATGTTGCCTGTTTTTCAGATTAACCTTATAGAATTTAGCTATTTGTTCCCGATACTATCGTATATATTCAAAATTAGTGTCAAGATTTATTCCAGTAATAGATTTTCATTAGCTTATTCTTCTCTAACTTAGTATGATGGCAACATTTAAGGTTTTGTGAGGTCAAATCTTATAAAGATTAGGTAGAAACTACCTTATAAACCATATCTAGAAAACAAATATGTATAATTTCACCACTGAACTAAGTGTCCCTGGTGGAAAAAAAAATACTACAGGAAACCACCACTGATGTTTATTCAGTCACTGATAATTTGCTGAGCATGCATGTTGCTTCACACCGTTACACCTCACAGGTAAACACTCAGAGTCAATGTGTTTTCTTGATCAAGGCCTTTATTCAGAGGTTGTCTGAGTTTTATAGCCAACAAAGGAAATACTTTATTCCACAAAGTCTCAGGCTGTCTGCCTTTAGGATTTTTGTTTATAAGTCAATCCTGGAAAATAATGAAGCATTTGGCGTTAAGCACAAATTTCTGCCTTAATATGTTATTAATAATGTTATTATGCTATTAGCTAATACATCCATAGGGTAATTGATCAGTTGGTACACTTCCAGTTACTTCTACATACTAACCTAGCACAAACATGAGGCATTCTTCAGAAGACAGAAGGTGAACTACACATGAAAAATATTTAATCTATCTACAAACAACCATCCAATACACAAACTATTAACTAGGGTTCAACTATTAACTGAGTGATTTTGTCCTGGAAACTCATCTGGAAGCTAATGATAAACTCAACACAACTCAATGGACTAACTAAGAAAAAAAATCTCAGACCTTTGTCTCCATTGTTCTGTAATTAATACCAAACTACATGGTTCTTTGCAGGAAACGTTCAAGAAATTATGATGAAATAGCTGTAAAATAAAGCATTACCACAATCCCAAAGGAAATGGAAGCTGATTTCAATGGATTATTATTATTCACAGAAGTATCTTACTGCATCTTTGCTAAATGGGAAAAGAAGCTTCTTGGTAAATGATGGACAGATGTTCAATGAAGGAAATATGAATGTGACAGTGAGAGAGAACATATTTTGAAACATTTATTCTCATGTAAAAATCTTTACATGCACATTTAACACTGAAGGAACAGAAAATCTTAAACAACAACACAAGTCTTTTTCAAATCTGTCAGTTCTCATGTTGGCTGCTTTCCTGCAAAAAAGACACACACACACACACACACACAGTGGTTCCAGAAATAACACCAGAGTCCTGAAAATGCACCCAGGATAAATGACTGATGCCAAGATTAGTTTAAAGTCCTCTTATTTTGACGAACTGCTCCTTTAATGGTGTCTCTGTGTTGTCTGATCCCTGTTCCCCACTGACAACATTTTGTATGTTTCCCTCAGAGTCTATGACCACAGCAGTTTGCTTGAGCTTCTCATAGTGTGTCTGTCGCTCTGCAACAGCCACGCAGGCATCCAGCACCTCATCAGACTCAAAGTCATAGTCCTGCTCGAGCTCAGGCGCATTAAGGATCTGTTTCTTGGTCTCCTCCTCTTGCCGAATCTTCTCCTTGGTTGCTAAATGCTGCTTCTGTATCCTCCATGCCCAGGCCAGATCTTCCTGCCACAGCTTGCACTCCGATGGACAGAGGTGGATTGCAACCTGGAAAGACCTCACAGCCTGTAGGGATAGCACCAAAATGAGCTTTAGCTGGATTTATAGTCAACATAAGGGCTTAATGGGGTTCACGCCATCTGTGCCTACAGCGTAGGCTGTGATTTATAGTTGAATTGGATTTTATTCCCACCGGTGTCATTTCTATAACACCAGATTCATGTGTTGTATATAATCAAGCCCTATAAAGCTTTAGATTCCTCACAGTAAGTGTGAGTACACGCTGTCATTTACTTTTATTTCTATTTATTGTTATATGTATTGGAGTTACATCCAGGTAATGTACCCCTATGCATCATCGGTAAGTCAGTGAGCAAGAACCTTATACTCATCATATCGCATTGCAGGTCAATTTATACTTTCATTTCGAGTGATCAGTATCTCTGCGCTGACCCAGCACCTACAAATTGATTTGAAAAATTGTCCCATGGAACAGGGACAATTACATTATACAAAGGTCTCCAATTGTTTATGGGACCTGACGTCAACCACAAGTTGTGACGGTAATGTGGCCTGTGAGACGGTGACAGACATCCACCCCCTGGTTCCGTTTTCTTATCTATGAAATAAAGATACAAGTAGATGACCAACAGATTTGTTCTGTTTGCTCTGAAAATACCTTACACTGAACAGAAAACTCAGTCAAAAGACTGGAAATCCATGTTTTCCTGCTTTAAACAGTGTTGAGAACACTGGTGAAAAGGTTTGACAAGCATTTTTAAACTGTCTGGGCAAAGGAATAGGCCAAGGAGTACTATTAATACTGAATCTGTACTTTTATTAAAGTAGGCTTTTGAATGCTGAACCTTTATTTCTAATGGTATGCTTTTACATTTATTGGAACAGTACTTTTATTTTATAAGAGTTTTTAGTATAATCTCCATAACTGCTTTCTTTCTTCTTCTTTAATTTTTCTGGTTTTCCTGAGCAGGTTGGGGTTGGAAGACCTGGCCATGCCGTGGGTGCATCAGATGGAAACTATTTGAAAAACCTTAAATAGAAATGTTGCTGGACTTTGTGCATCTATCTTGATCACAAACTACTGCTCAAGAAAGTTCTCTGATCTCACTGTTACTTTTGCAGGATAAGATAAAGCATCAAACCAGTGACAAGACAACAAGCAAATCTAACTCAGACAACACTGCAGTTTCATTTCGGAGTATGTGTACAAATGAAAGACATCTCTGATGAGCTTATATCCTCATGAGGAAACTTTTCAGTTGCACCTGTTCACAACGACTCTGTGAAGCACACCTCTTATGAAAAACAACCAAACCGAAGGGGAAATGGGCCAAGTTGACAAAATGGTGCAAATGAACTACAGGTTTTAAAGATGCCTTTAGTCTATTTTTTTTTCTGTTTCAGGTAATTCCTTCATTAACATGAAAATTAACTAATATGAACCTAATACTCGAGTGGATTGAAAGACTGAGCCTTCCTATTAACATGAACTGTAATAGAAGTTTGGCAAATTGAACTCTCAGTGGCCAAACAACATACCGCACTTAATCTTAAATAGATTAAAGTCTCATCAAGTCTTTATTTTGAAAGTAACCTTCAACATACAAAATGCCACTGCAGGTAGATTAACCAGCCTTTCTGGTAAATTAATGACAATTATGAGAGGATACATGTCGACAGACTTGTCACACTGTAATTGATCAAAACTAAGAGAAATGACATAAACAAAAGCTATCTGTTTATTTGGGTAACTTCCATTTTCCTAGAATGAGACAGAAAGAAGTAGAAATTAGAGGCAAAGGACAAGAGGAGACTCTTGAAAGAGTAAACTGTAAACCACTGCACCCACATTTGCACCAACAGGCACTACTCAAGCATGTTGCTGCATACAAAACCCTAAAACACGACTGAACAAGCCTCGCTAAAAATAGATGTACTTTTTTCCCTTCCTTCCCAATAGCTTCATGATACAAGGAGGTGTGTCTATATTTGGTTAAGTTAGAGCTCAAGTAAGTTTCAACACTTCCCATTGTTATGTTTGGTACCCTTTGACAGATCTCTTGCTCTAGGACATGTAGGAACATTATTAGCTGAAAGGTTTCTTAGTTCAGCCTTGTTTGCTTAGCTCTAAATGGGTGAACAGTGCAACCTAGATCCGCAGATTTGGTACACCCACAGGTACTGGCACGTTCTGGGGCAATTTAAGCAATTGTCCAAGCCCCAGGCCACTGGGTGTGATTTGAAAGAGGTACTTTATGTAAGAGGAAGGGAGTTTGCAAAAAGTAGTAAACAGAAGGAGCTGATGAATCTTAAAATCTCTTTGAACTCAAAGACACAACTGACTTATAGACAGCTATGAAAACAGGTATAGTGAATTGCAAAATCAAACATTCAAATGTGAACATTCCAGTGAAGATTATTAATGGCTGACTCAGCCAGATGCCATCAAACATTATGCAACACGCACTGAGTGAATGTTGGTACACTCTAGATATATTAACACCATGCTTGAATTGTGGTGCGCAGACAAAATGACACTTTTTGTCCACAGGCAGACAATGCATTTGATTTTAATCAGCACAGCTGCAGCCATCCTTAACCACCATTTGCAGTTAGTAAACCATGTGATTTGTTCTTTTTTTTCCAGGTTCTGTTCACATTTGTTTCGTGAGCATGCTGCATTCTAATGTGTTTTCGTTTGGGGTGTGTTGCCAGCCTTACTCACCAGATCCACCTCTCCCAGGTTGAGCTGGGCCCGGCCCAGAGTTTGCCAGCCTTCCCACCAGAGGGGGCGGAATTTCACAGCCGTCTCTGCTGCTCTCACAGCTGGGAACACTTCCTGCAGAATGGTTAGTACCTGTGGAGACAGTGGGCACTGTCAAAGGATCTTAATCTGTCTACCATGAGCACAGACTCACAAACACAAAGAACAAATCTGTGATCCCCAATATTCATCTAGCATTTAATGACCAGACACAAACAAATTCCCTGGCCCTGAACAACAACTTTAACAAAATTAGGATGCCTTACTACACTGCAAAATGATCATCTTTCATAATGTTAATACATTTAACTTATACAGGTTCTATAGTGTGTAAAGCTGAATATTTAGTTTATAAATTGATTGACAGAAAATTGTTGCAATAACTTATTCATCATTTAAATTATTTTTAAAGCAAATATGCCAACCTTTCTGAGTTTCCAGCTTCTTAAATATGAATATTCACTGCAAACTGAATATCTCTGGGCTTTGGATTGTTGGTTGGGAAAAAAGAAGACATCTAAACATCACCTTAGACTCTGGTTCATTTGCAATGGACATTTTCCCCTTTTTTTTTTTAAACATTACAGAAACCAAACAACACAGTGAGAAAATCATCAGATTAATCTCTAATGGAAATAATTAGTCACTGTCCTTGTGACTCATTCACCGTTAGATTCTAGTAAACAGGACGGAACAACAGCATAGTCACAGTTGTAAGATTACTCTGCAATTTAATTACTTGTTCCACTTATCTCTGCCCACATTTAACAGTGCCATGGAGCTCGTTACCCTCTTCAACTTTGTAGAGTCAAATTAATCATTCAGACACCATGTGGCTTTATATGGATACGTTTTAATCTTGCTTTCTGTCAAGTAGGAACCAGGCTGCAAAGTGTTGATATTACTGTGCAAGCGTCTGTGAAAAACTAATCTGAGGCAAAACCTTTGTCACTTGGAATCTGTCTAATCAAATATTAATGTGTGTGTACACTTTTGACCAAATAACAGAAATGAAAACAGTGAAGA